GAGGTCTCAAGGTCGGATGCCACACTAGGTACTGAAACAGCAGCTGCTGGATGACTTCCAGGTTTATATTCCTGACCAGTCTTTTCCTTGTATTCTGCTTTCAAGGCCAATAGCTGTTTCACAGCAGCATCAATATCTTCCTTTGATGCCTTCTTAGCTTTCAAGTCACGAACCACATCACCCTGAGCAGACACTCTATTGTAAAGTACCACAGGGTCCTCAGGTGCAGTAGAGGTATTAGCAACAAGTGGAGGAGTAGGCTTTTCCTTGGAAGCAGAACTAGCCTTTGAAAACAGAAGCAGATTTTTGTTGTGTTCCATGAATGTTTTACAGCAGTAAATGCTATGGGAATGTTTCCTAAAAGACTCTTTACCTCTTTCTTTGCAGTTTCTGCCTTGGTTTTCTCCTTTGAGCCAGATGTTGGCATTTCCTTTGTGTGTCCATCAGGGATATAAATCAAAATGCACGGAGCCTCTTTACAGCTATATGGGCTACAGGAAAAGGTTAAAAGAGCCAACATTCAATATATACTCTCTATAGAGCCATAATAGAAAAAATACAAGTAGAATGCCTACAAAACACTTTGAAAAAGCCAGAGAGAAAAAAAATGAATATTCAACACATTTCTTGCTCCACATTCCCACACTAAGTTCCACTACAGCAGCAACTCTCTCTCTATATAATTGCAACTGGAAATTTCAGTAATGAAGAATAAAATTCTGTTCTGGATGGTGTACTGTATTAGAAGTTTCAGTTTGTCACCTAAACTCCCTCTCACCAGAGAACTGCAGATTTTAACTACATAATTTTCATTTAGTTCAAAGAGCAACTCAAAACAGCTTTCCTTATTTCTTCGAATTAAAATCAAGACTTCTATATTTAGATAGGGGTGCACTGATAAAGATTTTATGGGCCGATACCACTGGCTGATTATTGGCAAGCCATATCGGCCAATACCGATTCAACTGCCTATGTGCAGCCCAGCAGCTTGGAGAACATTGCCCAGCTGGTATGTCTGTTGGGGATGCAGATAAAGGGCCCCCCAGTGAAGGAGGGCATGGGGTAGAGCCATGACCCACTCATCTGTGGGGGGCAGGGAGGCGGCAGTGCAGTGGAAACATGGGGGCCATGTTTGCCCTGGATCTGTGCACAGGGTGAGGGCTGGCTGCACACTTAGGGCTGGGGCTGCACCAGTCTCTTCCCAGCAGGGGGAGCTACAGCAACTCCAAAATTTGCCATAGCTCCCCTCCCATAGTCACTGTCACCTGCCCACCCTCCACCCCACCCAGGCCTCCCTGCCGGGAAGAGGCTGGCACAGCCCTGGCCTTGAACACACAGCCTACCCCTGATCTGGGGGGCACATGTCCCCCATACTTCCCCCAGGGTGCACAGAGCACCACAGTGTAAATATTTGTGTATGTTATTAGGGTCTTCACACCGCTGTTGGTGAATGAGATTATTAGTTCAATTTCTACTTGAGAGAGTGTTATTGTGTGCATGAAAGCACAAAAAAATATATTAAAACCATTTTACTGATCTTAACTGGTGATTCTCAGCCTATAAATTGAGGGTGTTTCCAGTTGCTTACCTAATTGGCTCATAGGGTTGATCACAAATAAAGAATCCTCTTCTCTGAAGCTGTATAATGTCCCCTTTTTTCAATTCCTTAAGACAGGGATCACCTAACATCAGTTCTTCTTGCTGTAAAAGTTACAGGAAACACAGATATTTTACAAGCATAGTTTTAAAAATACAAGGAATTCTGTGTTGAAAGATTTTAAAGATCATCAGATTTCACAATTAAACCTAATGCCAATGGATAAGATGCTTTCAAAGAAATGTGTAAGTACAGTTATTCCTATGTTATGGATTTTCAGCAACAAGCAATGTACCACACCCTGCAGAAATTTAATTAGGAAAATTGGGCTTGCATATAGGGTGGGATCACAAATAGATTAGAAATCTGTGAGATAGCTTAAAAATGTGAGGGTAACAGTGCCAAAAAATAGTGTCAGAAAGCTCAAGAGTTAAATATTATCTACTGGGAAATCCAGAACTATTTTATAAAGTAAATACTTGAATTTAAGGTAGCAAAACTAACAGGAACGCTATACCCTTCTTCACTTACCACACACTCTTGAATAAGACATGCACCTTGCTTTGGGGAAAGGAGAATGAAAGAAATAAGATTTGTCCTTGAAGAAAATAGCCAGCAGTCTTACTTTCCACTGCCAAGGCTGCAGGCTCCAGCCATGCACAGTAGGCATGGAGTCCTGATCAGCCTCACTCCCTCTCCCTCTTCCCACTGCTGTAGGGTGAAACAGGTTGCTACTGTAGCAGTTACCCCACACAGCCACAATGTACAAAAACCAATAGTATAAAAGTCTTGCAGCATAAAAAAAAACAACCAACTAACTAAAAGTTAGCACCTGTTGTGAAATTGCTGATCTGGTGGTGCCTGACCTCACCAGCTCAAGAGGCAGATGAATGGTGCCAGACTGTTCTGCAGGTCTGAGGCAGTCCGTTGGCCCAATCTGGTGCACAGTGCTCATCCAGCCAGGGGCTAATTCAGGTGTGCAGCAATGGCTCACACAGGCCCAATCCAGTACCACACAGAAATGGCCCAGTGGACCCCAATCCCAATGCACTGGATCCGTGCTGGCAGGTCCGTTCCCGTTTGTCCGCATCATGCCTGCCCGGGCCATTGCAACAGCAACAATGGTAATGTGTGTGCCCATTCTGCAGGGAGCAGCCACTTCTTGGTGAGCACACATCCCAGAGGTGAGGGTTAGGAGTGCTCCAAGCACTTGTGGGTACCCAGAGGGCAATGGCAGGAAAACAGGGCATGCATGATCCCTAGCACATGGCGTTCCAAGTGGCAAAGTCCCAACACTGAAGCTGCATTCCAGTCCCCTCACAGGAATCCCCATGCCAGGAGATGGGGAGCCAAAGCCAGGCAGCGAATCTGCTATCAGGGTGAGATCCATGTGCATAAAAGGGAAGGGGGACAAAGCCTGCTCACTCTGACAATTCAGCTGCACAGGAATGGCCCAGCTGGGGCTGATTACACATGGCTTCATTGGACCCCTTTCCATGTGGCTGGATTGGGCCCTGGCGTGAGCCAGGCATGTGGGAATGGAGCCTGATCCCTTTGCACAGGACTGACTTAGGGCTGATCTGCCTGCATGGACATTTGGCAACAAAAGGGTAGTGGTGGTGGTGGTACTGCAGCTAAATGTCCAGACCCGCAGGATGCCCTCTGGGCCAGGTTACATAGCTCCGCAGGCCGGTTCTGGCCTGTGGGCAAAGAGTTGAGTACCCCTGGGTTAAACATTAGCTCTTGGGCTTGCTTCAGGGAGAAGGGGAGTGAGGCTGAGTTAAGGAATCCATCCCCAGCTCCATGTAACCCAAGCCTCCAGCTCCTGCAGAAGTCAGTTGCCTTGTTTGAAGACATGCACCCATGGAGGTCCCATCCAGCCTTACTTCTTTCTGATTTCACCCCAATTTTCTGGGAAAATATGTGCACCATATGTAAATAGATACAGCAATTGTTTAATAACGATATTTTCCTTAAACTGGGAAATAAAAAAAAACTTCCTTGGCTAGGAAGAAAAGATCTCTCCATCTCACAGTATCATTCAGAGACAAAAAGCTTGGAAGAGAATGTGAGGAAGCCTAGAAGAAACTCCATCACAGCAATGATACATAATTTATCATATAATTTGCAGAGACTGAGATACAAAACCCAGTAATACTGCATCTATAAAGTATTACTTTGCACTTAAATTTAATTGAAAGAACCAGGGAGTAAATTCTCAATATATAACATTTATCCTTCTCCAGTTGTGACATGTTATTCAACTTATTATACAGTGATCCCTCACTAGGCTGCAGCTTCATTAACATTAAAAGCATATCTATATCCAGCGGTGTCCCTGCAAAACCCCGCCACCGCTATTAAAATGTCAGTCATGCACTAGCTCCTCTCCAACTGGCAATTACTGTAGCTCCACTGAGGAATGGGAACTACAGATACGTGCATTCTAAAGCAATATACTTATACTAAGTATATGTACACTTAAGTTGGACTTGCTCAAATGGCCAAAACACCTTTGTATACCACCAAGACATTTAAGAACCTACAGGCTAAAATAACTAGAGATGGTGGTGAAAAAAGAGAAGGGAGGAAAAGCAAAGGCTTTGCAGGAAGAATAGGAGAGTTACCTTGCTATTTCTGTTGACATGCTGCTTGAAATCTTCATCTTTGCCCAGCACTGGTTTGGTGATGAGATGTTCATAGTTAACACAGACAGATGGGATAAGAGGTGCAGATGGCGTGTCTGTTAGCCAAGTGATCTTAGCAGTTTTTTTGTAATCCTTGTTCTCTAAGTTCAGCTTGGCATCAATCGATACAATTTTCCTGTTTGGGTTTCTGCATGGGAAACAGAAGAATAAGTGGCAATTTTACACAATTTTGGAACATTTTTGAGCTTCTCGTGGAAAAAAGAAGTCTCTGTAATATTGAAAAAATTTTTAAATTATTTTAAAATGTCCTAACATAGATGGAAGAGAGAACTGCCCCCCACCCCACACTAGTCCATCCCCACCCCACAGAGGATAAAGCTCAGCACATTGTAAGTAGTAAGTGACTAATTAAAAGATACTCTTTTAAAATGTAAATTTAAGTTCCAAGAGGGGAAAAAAAGGGGGTGGGAGAAGACAGAGTCTCATTTGTTAAATACAGGGCTGCATTATTTACATGCGTCTGAAGGGCTCTGTTGATTAAATGCACAGAACACCATATTAACAACTTCAACATTTAATAGCAATGACTCCTTTATAAAGGCCATATCTATATAACTAGTCTGTTGCTGATGCACCTTTAATTTTGCTTTCATTACAGACAAGTTTTGGATCATAATAGAATTTACATGAAAAAAATGAAATGAATCAGCACCAGAACAGGAGCATATTCTATTTCTAACTGCAAGTAATGCCCGAAAGCAACAGTAATGGAACAGCCACAGGTTCCAAACAAGAACTGTTATACAATAACAGGTTATTTAAGCAGTGACTTCAGACTCACAATCCTCTATTAAATAGGCAGTTTGTAATCTATTTACACAATACTGATGCATGCTAACCATTACGGCTTATGATTGTCAATTAAAAGTTGAAATGCAAAAGCACTCTATTCCAAATACCTTACATTTGTTACCTGTGTATCTTAGTGATAATAATGTTGCCCCAATTTATGAACGTAACCATTTCTCCCTCTGTCAGCGTATCTGCATCTGCACCCTCAATCAGCACTCTAGAGCCGTACCACACTGGCTTCAACCCAACATCAGGATTCTGTATATTCAAAATTAATAAAAAAAGAAATTGTTAGAATCAAGCTCTGTTCGCTTCTATGATAACAGAGTTTCACTCTCTTTCTACGCACACGTGCATGCATGTGCGTGTACAATAAGTCAAAAATTACAACACACAACATGATCATCTTAATGGACAAAAATCATAAGCAGCCACCAAGATTGAGGCTACCTCAATCTTTTTCATCACTTCTAGTTCATTTATCATAGACGCTGTACCATTCTAGGAAATCCCAGATTGACTACAGTGTAGACTCATCAAAAGAATGCATTCATAAAAAGCTTTAGCAACCCAAAGCACTATCATGTGCCCAATCGAACTTATGCCCTTAAAAGTTCTGTTGCCTGGCCCATAGGGACTGAGCATAATTGTTGAAGTTTAAGTCAATTTTTTGCTTGGCAGCTTCATTTAACAATAAATTTTTATAACACTCATTCATTTTCAGAATTTCACATACTGTGCTCAGTATTTGCTTCTGGTTGCACAGATCAGCTAAACTGTTATTTTTAAGTAATAAACATTTCAATGCTGTACAAATATTCAACTTCATGGTATTCCAAAAATGAAGAAAAACAGTAATCAGTCACTCCCATTTAATAATGTGAAACCCAAGTTACAGAGTTGGGACTTGCCTAGTTGGGATCACAGTTTGGAAATTCCTATCCTGATTCAGTGACACTCCTTCATCCCAGCTGCTTACTGTAGCCCAGGGGTGTCACTCATTTGGTCCAGTGGGCTGGAGTTGTGGTGTGGGGCCAGTCTGCAGAGAGCCCATGGATACCCCTGCCCACACGCCCTAGCACACACACCCCTCCCCCCCCCAGCAGTTCCAGGTGTCACAGCACCTGCCCCAGGACCTGCACTGCATGCACTCCCCACTGGTCTGGAATTGTGCTGCTCTTTGTATGGCACATGTGCTGGATTGGCTGGGGGTGGCTCCATCCCAGACCAGCTGGTACAGGTAGCAGGGATCCCGGACAGGTTGGAATAGGTGCAACATGTGGTGAACAAGTCAACACAGATCAGGGCGGGGCAGCACAGGAAGCTAGATGATGGGGCTCTACAGGCTGGATCTTTGACACCCCTACTGTAGCCTATAGACAGCACCATTTTTAAGTGTTCCATCCTCTGATGGTAATCAAAAGATGAATGAACTGAAGAACCTTTGGGTGTTTGGCCACTTCTTTCATCTCCTCCACAGCTTCGGGAATGTTCACAGTGACCATTTCATCTTTCAGTAAAGCAGTGTACCGAGGTGCTACTGGGTCTATAACCTATAGGAAACAAATGAAATAAGAGTGAATCTCTCTCACTTGGAGAAAGAAGTTTTCAACTAGCAATGACTGCGCCTCAGTTCAACCTCACAGACTACCATACTGCCACTGCGCGTGTAAAACAAGTCAAAGAATAATGCAGGAATATTAACTGGTATCTTTATGTTACTGCACTTGCTTGTGTTTGATTTTAATGCTACTTTAATTCAAAATTTTAACAAATTGCAGAATATGGTTACAAATAAGCAAAGCATAAACCAATTCTTCAAACTATTCATGAAATTAATATAAAAGGTAGAATATAGAAATCTGGAACTGTGGCAGTAGAAACAACCCAACTTTTGAATTAACACTTCAGTGTAGGCATTACTTTCGCCTTTTCACTTGATGCATTTTATTTTCTATGCAATGTAGTTGTCTTCTAACCAGTTTATTTCTGAGCATCTACTTTTTGAATCAAAATATCAACATGTTTTAATGCCCGGTTTGCTAGGCTCCAAAACCACGCTCATTTTTTAAGGCTTAGACAGATGACTAATTGAACCAACATAAACAAGGAGTTAACAATCACAAACTCCTATAATGGTACAGCTTACTCAAAATCCTGAGAAAAAAAATCAGGGTGTAAAACTACATCAATGAGAGTTATACTAGTGTAGTGTCATTTCTCCTTTCAACTAAGTAGCACCCCCTTGTGCAGTGCAAACAAGTTAGTACCTACTTGACAGCTACACAGTGACAAGGCACTGGAATAGTATCTAGTTAGTGGAGAAGCAATCAAAAATAAATAAATAAATAAATAAATCAGACCATTCGTCTGCTCTGAAGCCCTGAGTGGAGTAGCATCACAAAAAATAGATACAAATTACACTGGTGTAAAAAAGTACCACTGGCATTTTTACACATGCTCCAGGAGGCATGGGGGGGAAGGGGGTTAGGCACTTTAATTAGCGAGCTGCACCAATTAAAAATGCTCAAGTGTCACATGTATCAGCATCCCTGGTGCTGAAAAATGGCAGTGGGGAACTTGGAACTAAAGCTGATCAAATGAGCCATTTTTTAGCACAGAGACGCTGATACACGTGATGCTAGAGTCTGCTGGAGCATGGCCATTTCTGTGCTCCAGCCGACTTGATTAAATCAAGTCTGATTAAATCGCATATGTTCTGATACATTGGATTTCTGATGTGTCGGGGCTGGCTCCCTACACATCTACACGAGCCCCATCTGCCCAGGTTCTCAGAATTTTTTTGAGCTCAGCAACTGTTTTGCTTGTATAACGAGTGCCAACTGGGTTTATAATGTTGAGGAATACTATTTTAGTACAGTAGCATTAGATCACTATAATAAGGCAATACCATAGTATTAAATTTGTTCCAGTTACTCCACCTTAGCTTATTTTTGCCATTATTAGCAGTAGTAGTATTCTGCTTATTATGATGCTTCCTCCCTATACTTTTAAGTCTGTTTTCCAACTCATTTACCACCACCTTTCACAGGGGTGCTCTGATCTTCATTACTTTTATTAAATGTTTCAGGGAACCTTGAATACAATATACACAAAAGCAAAATTAGGAATAAAAGGGAACTGGTAGACTACCTCACAAACTAACTGGAAATTTAAACTAAAAAAGAAATACAAGAAGTTCGCTCTGCGCGCGAAAATAATTTGCTACCGAAAGAGCGCATTTACACACTGCTGTATGGCAATGTTGCTATGGTACCGTGCTTTAGTACTGTGCTTGCAAGTACTAAAGCACAGCAGAGTAACAGCCCTAACTGCACCATGCGCACCACACTTAGAATTCAATGCTATGTCATTGTAGCGGTGCACTACACTGGGGGAGTGTGCTGGTATGGCAACGTAGCTCCATGCGTAGACCCATGATTGCTATGTTGCCATAGCGTGCCATATGGCAACGTTGTGATCATGCATAGAGCCACGTGATCCCTATGTCACCGTAGCATGCTGTATGGCGATGTTGCACGTCACTACGTTGCTGTAGGGAGACGTGTAGATGCATCCATGAAGTAGGACATATTTTATTTTTAATTTGTTTACTGCAACTCAGCCATTTAGAGAAAAAAAAAGTTTTGCAATCTACTATATTTTCTTGCATACAGCATGCCCCCGTATATAATACGCACCTTGTTTTTGAGAGAGAGGAATTAAGAAAAAAGAAAAATCTTCCTGATAGAAACTGAGTAGTGGCAGCTATGGAGCTGAGCCTGCTCCCAACCCTATGTGCCAAATGGGGCCCACAGACCAACCCCACATGCTGACTCTGGGGCTACGTATTGGGCATGACACTGCATGCTGGACGCAACCTGGCATGTCAGCCCTGGCCACAAATGGACCTCATGTGCTGACCCAATCTGGCACATGGGGTTGTGTCATCCATCCATCCCCATTGGTCCAGAAATTTGGCAATGAGGGAGCAGTGACAGAGTTAATTGCTGTGGCTCCCAGATCCCTGGCAATTAACACTGCTACAGCATCCTGGCCACCAAATTTCAAGCTCATGAGGACCCAGTTACCATGCATATAAACGCACATCCCAATTTTTAAAAGTTACTTTTGGTAAAAACAAACAAAAAAACCCTACAAAAAAAGGTGGGCTATATGTGAGAAAATAGGATATTTCATATCTGAATTCTTTGGTACTTGCAGTTACAAGAGTACTCTGCACTGACAAGGTATATATTCATTAAAATTAGTAAGCACAGAAGCCAGGCCCTTACAGTGTTTCAGTCGCATGTTCTAGGAAGGACTTGTTAATGTACCTAGAAAATGGGTACTTCCTATCCCTTTTATGCTCTAAATATCAGAATTATGATGACAATTAAAATAGTGGTACCTTAACCCCACTCATCTCTCATAACTATGCCTCATGTTTTAATCATTCAACACAATACTCTATCAGCTGACTGTGTTTATAAAATCAAGTGTAATAAGTAAGCATTCTGTTTCTCTACAGGTATTTGAGCTCTGTCTGGAAACTGCATAGGAACAATTTCCATTTTCATTTATACTATTGACTCCAATGCAAATGCACAGGTAGATGACGACAGATTTTGACTGATAGATATGGAGACAAATAAGGAGTCAAAGGTATAAGAGACTACTTAAGAAAAGAAAAGAAAAGAAAAGAAAAGAAAAAAGAAAAGAAAAGAGGTTTTAAATAAATTAACACTAACATTCCCATCAGTGTGTCTTCAAATCCAAATTTAAAAAACCATTAGTATCTATGCAGCAACAGAATGAACCAGTTCATAATCCTTTGCATATTGAATGGACCAAATACATAAAACATGGAGGGAGACAAAATACATGCCAAACAAACAAATGCTACTTAAATGAGCAGATCCAGGAAAGGCCTTAACAAAAAACAAGCAGTAATCCCAATGCAAGAGTTACAAGCATTCATTCACACAGGTACACAAGTTATACAATCAGCACTAATGATTCGCCTTATTATAGTGTCCAAGCATCCGCTGCCAAAAAGCAACTAACCATGTCAAGATGCAGTATTCCTTATTTGACACTCAATTCAGGAATATTAGAAGGGCTATTTAACACAGACAGTCGTTATTACTAAAGCCCTTATTCAATTAATGACAGAAAAGAATGAGAGTTGACTTGAAGAGATTTCCAGTTATGTTGGCAAATAAACCAACACAAAATAGGGCAATTTTTAAAAACAGGAATAATGCATTTTAAATGGATTTGTACAGCTCTTGTTAGATAAGCAAATGTGATTGTGCTATGAAGCTGCAAAATGACTTATGCTACACATGCTTACATTAAATGTAAGCTATGTGCTAAGGCAAAAAAGCATTAAGTAATACCTTCTTACAGATAGCTCGCAGCTTGAAAGCAGAAAAATGAAATGCAGAGTTTTCATATCAGATTTACAGCAAGTACCATTTCCTATCAATATAATTCCAAGTAAAGCAACTCAGCATCAGTTTGATAAATCAATAAGTGACAGCCCAAGTTAGAAAAGGGACATTCCATTTTCCTGAAAATGTGCCAATGATGCAACATACTGCAACTACTACTTTTAATAATGAGCACTCCATGAATGCTGGATTCACTACAAAACCCAGGGGGGATGGATACCAAGAAGAAATGCTATCAAACTAATACAAGCATATATATTACATATACCTTTTTGTTAAATGCCCAAATTTTGTCCCATTCCATGTTCACGACAGATCGAGAGGAGCCCTGAAAAGCAAGATTAATAATCCTGAGTATTTTTAAGGACCTGAGTCCTTCAAAAACATATACAATGGCTAAGTATTATTCATGTTACTGTTTACTTCAAAAGGACATCACAAAGAGCCCCCAGTATGGCATAATAATGATAAATAAAAGTTTGGTTAACATATTTATGAGGATGCTCAAAGAATCGGAAAAAGGAGAAGATGGAACTCACTTGTGCTGCAATAAACTGTTTTAATCCTTCAACTGTCATACCTCTTCTCAGCACACCACGGACAGTGGGAAATCTTGGATCATCCCTAACAAAAAAAGGAATACAACTGAGAATGCTGTTGGCTACTATAGAATAAATTCTAGTACTGAGTGTAGTATTTGAATGTAGGCTTTGCAAGTCAGTTTAAAAAATACTTTTAAACATTATTTTGCTTGCATTACTTCCGTTTTGGTTGTAAGAGGTAGCCTGCCAGGCCAGAAGACTGAACTCTTACCCATGGAAAATGAAGTTGTAGTAAAGATTTCCCCACACTGCATACCAATGCTTCTAAAAGTTAACTTGGAGAGGAAAAAACTCTCTCTCAATGAGAGGAGCATTTTTCTAGGCCTATTACATCCCTGGTGTCTATCAAAAATTGGCAAGGTGAGAGTTGTATGTCCTGCTAGCCTGTTTCCTCCCATTTTTTTTTTTATTTCAAAAGCATTCTTTGCCTCATAGGCAAATGTCTGTAACCTACAGCTCTCTTCTTGTCTTCTTCATGTGTCAAGCTGGGGAGAGAAATTACAGTAAATTAAGGCTTCACCAAAGTAATTTCTACCCATATGAGGCACAGAAATGGGATGCTATTTAAGTATAAGGTGAATCTGTCTGCTTTCCCTGTACTCATCTTTGCCTCAGTAGCCATGGACTTATTAACCTACTAGGTTTGGTGCTTTCTTGAGGGAAAAATATGGGGCTCTCTCCCACAATGTCTCACAGATGATATTAAACAGGACTGAAAATAAACTGGGCAGATAGATGCGTGATCCTTCCTTGAATGAAAGAGTCACTAGGAATCTGAATTATGCTTCACCAAGATGAAAGGGGTAGTTCAGATCTCTGAGATGCATACTTCCAGACCGTCTGCCTACTGAGGTCCCAGGCAGACATTCAAGTAAAGGCATAATGGGATCTGATCCACGATCCCAGAAGTCACACTTCCTGCCATACTACATGCGCTCAGCAGGAAACAATTATGGGATCAGGGATGAGATACTAAATCATGCCATATGGCCGGTGCACGGGGAGCCCAGGATCACAATCCCCAGACTCCCTCTACACTGGCAAGTAGCAAGCCAGCTAGCTGATCAGTGCTCCAAACCTTGGGAAGGCACCCTAGTCAAGGGCTGCAATGCACCCCCAAAGTTAGGAGCCCCGAGCAGACGACTGCTGCACCCAGTTCAAGGTTTGGTGCCCTGATGAGCTGATGGGCAACGCCACACATTCTATTTAAGGTGCAATGGGAACCAGCCACAAAGTTATTAAACATTTTCTCTGATAACTTTGCGACTTACTCCCTGTTTTAATGCAGCAATAATTGCATGAACTTGGGGGTAGGTTACTACCTAAAGTGTGACTAACTGGTTAATCACATTTGAAATATAACATCTCCCAGGGGCCTGAGTCTGTTAACCCTTGAAAATGTGAACTGCATATTTCTCCAAAACTCTACTAGCTAGAGACTTGGCTTTTAAATGAACAAGGTAACAGTTTGTGGGGCAGGGATGACCATAACACTACCATACAATTGCCCAGTCTCAGCTTTGACTGTTTCAAAACCTTTGGTCTTGCATCATATTCACATATACAGGTCTGAGTAATCTAGACTCTGCAGAACAGACCAAATTAGTATTTTGCACTCTTATATCAGTTTTCGTCTTAAGTCGATGTAAACACAAGTGTTATACAAGAATGGCAAATCAATGGTCCAGCTAGCTTGGTATCCTGTCTGTCAGTAAAGGGGGGAATATTTCTTTAACCCAAGCAGATATATAGAGATAGATTTTAATAACAATTTGAACAAAACTGCGTAACATACCATCCATCCACCAGCCCTTCATTGACAAACCACGTGAGTTTTCTTTTAGATAGCACAGTGTTGTTGAGGTTCAGACGGCTGTATTCCCAGATGTATGGCTTCCTTATACCCAAGGCTTCAATGATCCAGTAGAACTGTTCATCTCTGTCATGGTACTCTGTCGTTCTCAATGCATGTGTAACACCTTCAATACTGTCAACAATGGGGCAGGCGAAGTCATACGTAGGGTAAACCCTGAAAAGGGCAAAGCTTCAATTAGTATATGCCAAAAGACCATAATTTACCTGAACTTTAAAGTCACCACCTTTTAAGCTAAATGTTATTCTGAATTTTATAAACTTTCAAAATCCCAAGATTACTCCCAGGATTCTCAAGGCAAGAAACAGTTAAATTAGCACACGCACAAGAGACGCAAACAAAAATTAAACAATGGTTTTCAATGCAAAAGGTAAAAAACAAAATCAAATACAATTCAGATACAGAGAGATTAAGGTAGTGAAGTAATTTCAAGAAAAAGAAAGTTATGTACAATGTTTTCACATGCTTTCATAATGCGAATAAAAAAACCAGCGTCTACCTTACAGCTCAAACTTCAAAGTCAGATAAACTGGCACGGACTGATCAATTACAAATGGGAACATTATGATCCTTTGAAACAAAGGAAACTCTACTCAGAGAGAATGGATGAAAATAGATGTTTCAGGTGAGCAGTGAACCATAGTCTTGTGCAGTTAAGTAGTCTTAGTTCAATATATATACTGTAACTCTGCATACTGCATAAAAATAACAATGTGCTATGAGTGAACAGAACTCGCTCAGATAGTGCAGCTGAAGGATAATGCCTTTAAAGTTTAAGTTGTATTTAAGTTTTGAAACCTGAAGCAAACAAAATCCAATAATGCAGCTGCCTGAAATAGATTCAAGATAGTTTGCTAAAATTTAGTAAAAAGGACAATGATGTTCTGTACTATTCACAAAAGTAGAACATCACTCATCTTGCAAAGATGCAGAATAGGGACTCAGAATTCTTAGTAAAACATACTGTTCAGAAAGTGGCCACATGCAGGTTTTAAAAATATTTTGAATTTTTAGCGTCTTCAAAGAAGTTAACTGTACTTTCTGACTGAGAAAATGCTACAAAGACCCATGTAAATAAACAAGAAACCTGTCAAAATGCAGAAAACTGTGGAAAAGCAGCATAGGCAAAAACCCCCACCCCCACCCCCCCAAAAAAAAAAAAAAAAAAAAAAAAAAAAAAAA